GCGAAGACTGTGAGAAAATGTATTTTTAATCTAAATCAGGTGAAATAAACTCATAATTATGGGAATAAAAGTCAGAATTGTGAGATAAAAAGTTGCAATTACCTTTATTTTTTAATTCCATAGCAGAAACAAAAAAGTCAGAATTGTGAGATGTAAACTCAGAATTGCAAGAAAAAATAACTCAAAAAGAAGTTTATAACTCACAACTCTGACTTTTTTTCCTTTGATTTCTGAGTTTACATCTCACAAACTTTGCACAAAAGTCAAAATTGGGAGATGTAAACTAAATTGTAAGAAAAAAGTTGAAATTACCTTTTTAATTTTTTTATGCTGTGGCAGAAATGGGCTTCCAAATTAATTGAATCTCCACACATAAAAAAGTGATTTCTGTCAGTGTAAATACTGTAATGCATACAACAAAAACCATAAAATTGCTTTAGTGTGCAGTGTGAAACAGGAGTAAGTCTGTTCTGCATTTAATTTGAAACACAGCCAATGCACACAAAACGCATTAAGAGTGACTTGCTGAAATAGACGGAAAATTTGTAAAAAAGTAAATCAAAAACCTTTCTTTAATTTACATGTTAGACATGTTCAATTTCCTTTGGTCTCCTCCACCTTCTCATATTACCTGGCAGCTGTAACTGAGTTCTCTGAGTTCAAATATTTAGTTTCATACCTAGAATCTAAGTTTTTAGGGCTGTTTAAAACATATTGTAGGTTGACATATAAGGAGAGCAATAAGTTTGCCTTTTATTTACCAAAAAACGTGTTCAATTCAAACTCAATTTTAACTATCAAAATACACAGTTGAATGTTTAAATACAATGACGTGTCTCAGAAAGCAGTAATTGCAAACTAACACAAATGTAATTTGGTGAAATGAAAAGAATTAAGCATACCCTCATCTAATGTAGTCAGCAAGATGTAATTTTCCGGATGCTCTATGAGGTCTTTCTTCTGAACGTCACCTGTCTCCATCAGATGCAAAACACCTGCAAAGATTTGAAGAAATTTTAAGGGAACATGGTTAACACTTCACAATAAGGTTCCATTAGTTAATGCATAAACTAGCATTAACTAACAATGAGCATTACGTTTGTTACAGTATTTATTCATCTTTGTTAACGTTATATAAAAATACAACTCTTGATTGTTAGTTCATGTTAGGTGAGGTCCATTCAATAATATTAACAGACACAACTTTTGATTTTAATAATATATTAAGAAATGTTGAAATTAACATTAACTAAGATTAATAAATGCTTTCAAGTATTTTTCATTGTTAGTTCATGTTAACTAATGTAGTTAACAAATGTTAACAAATAGAACCTTATTGTAAAGTGTTACAAAAAACATAATTCCAGTGGCATGCAGCAATAATATGCAACCTTATCTTGCCGCTGAGAACCGGCAAAGTTTTATAAAATTGCCTATCTAGGTCATTGACTAAGAATTTGGAGGAAATCTAGTAAAGTGAAAGAATTTTTCTCCCTATTTTCGGTCTCCAACAATAGGTCGTTCTGCTCTACATTATAACTTGCATAAATCACCTTCAACAGTTTTCCAGACTTGCACCTCTACTTCCGTGGCTCCTTGTCTCTCGATGGCAATCGTCCGTACTTTATCTTCTGACTGAGCAGCTGATGGAGGTTCAACTTTATACACCAGGAGACTGTTATTGTCCTGAGTAAGGTAGCACTCTGTCCTGTTGCTCTCTGCTTTGAGCTCTGGAAAAAAAGTTAAAAGAAACACACTGATAAAACATGAAGTTTAAATCATTACAAATATAATAGCACTGATACGCCTACCTGGACAAATCTTACAGCATTTCCCCTCTATTTTTATGGGATGTTGGCATGGATACTGGTTGGGACACGTGATGCGTCTGCATTCTTGAAAGCCGTCCCTGCAGGTGCACAGGATGCACTCCAAGACCTTCCCCAGCACCGGGTGCCACACGTCACCATGAGAATAGGTCTTGCCACTGTACACACAAGCTTAGACAAAGTCAGAAACCCTACATTACTTTGACAGGATATGACTTCATTGGATTTTGACAAGCAATTCTTGATTTGGAATGAGTGGTGCATTACAGTTTACCTCTCTGATGTTTGCGCTGTAGAAGAATTTTAACAGTAGTTGCGGCAGCTCCTTTGAGGTGTAGTGTCTGTAGGTTGAGACCTCTGGGAGACCCCCGCAGTGTCGATGGCGTGGCCCTAAGTGAGTGACCCCTGACCTGCTCCGCAGCACACTGATCCACAGAATGCCTCTTGTATTTCAGGACATATAAATATATATATATATATATATATATATACTGTATATACATATATATATATATATATAAATCTAGTTGAGCATCATATATACATCAGGTTTAATGGTTCATATGATATAGTACAATATGAGGCTCATACTCAATTTTATTCAAAGGTCCAAATAAGCAAAAAAAATATGCAGCTGATGATATTTATATGGCCAAAAAGTAAGATGAAATTCTGATACAGTAGCAGACTATTTAAAAAATGCTTATAAATATCAGTTGTCACTATATATTTCCCAATAATATATGTTTTATTAAGATGATATTTTAATGCTTGATAGTTTTATGATCAAAGCTCTGTAGTTTTTATTGTGGAGGGCAAAACATATAATGCAATGCAATACAAAAATGATTGAGAGATACAAATAAATGTTACTCAAAACCCTTATGTATTATATTCGATACATTTTTTTTAATTATTTATGGCTAATAAGTAAAGTTGCTACAGTCCAGTAAGTGTTTCTCTTGAAATATTACTAACAATATAAAAGTTATTCTTACATTTACGTTTATAAAATCAGTCGAAAATTCACAGAAAAAAGACATCTGAAGGGTTTTTTAGAATTACACTAAAAGACCTTTTACTTTCTAAAAAAAAAAA